TTGGTTTTCAGTCTAGTTGTGGAGGACGTTGCTTCACTGGCCCAAGTTGGCACCATCATTGCGCTCTTCCTGGGTGAGGCAGATCAGTCCCCGGCTTCTGGACGGCCGCTCACTGCGGCTGCTGGCCGCTCACACTGGCTGCTGGCTACACACAGTAGCCCATGGCAACTCACTGCCACAGGGACTGCAGCCTACGGCGTCGCTGGCAACTCACAGTAGCCCAGCTCCAGGTTGAGCTGTTTTTCAGCATATTAGCTGTGGAGGGCAGTGTCACTGGGATCCAAACCGGGGCCCTCTGGCATCCCAAGCCAGCTCTTAACCATTGCCACTCGGCCAGCCCTTGAATAATTTTTAAATTGTTGTGAGGGACAGGATTGGCTCTTCCGTCTCAAAAGTTTGCCAACCCCTGGCCTAGAGTATTTGCTGTTATTCTTAATGGCTACAACTTGCTAAGATCAAATCTCAAAGGAATAACAGGTACTTTAAAAAAATAGTAAGACGTATTGTTGAGTTTTGCTAACATGTGTTGTAGACACTTTGGAGAGAGTATCGGTTTTCTATTGTTGTTGTTGTAATGAAGTCCTACAAATTTAGTGGCTTAAGCAACACAAATTTATTATCTTCCAGTGCTGGAGGTCGAAAGTTCGAAATGAATCTCACTGGGCTAACATCAAGGTGTTGGTAGGGCACTACTTTTCTGGGGAAAATTCATTTTCTTGCCTTTTCAGTTTTTAGCAGCTGCCCTTGGCTGGTGGCCTCCCTCCATTGTCAAAGCCAGCAACGTTAGTACATACAGACCCAGGGAAAGGCCCCAGAACTAAAAATCTACCTCCGTAAGCAGAGGACAGGGAAAGACCAAAAATAGAAGCTGGCCACTGCAGTCTGGTAATTAAGAGTGTGCTAAGGGAAACTCATATATGAGGCATATCTTGGGCAGCTGCAAGACAAAATGGATTGCCATGCCGACTGGCAGGTGCCAAAGAATTATATAGGGTAAAGGGGGGAATAGCACGGGTGCTAATATGTGAATGTTACCAGGTACGAGAAATTACATTCTTAACCAGGTCAAGGCAATGGCTTACCCAGGAACCCGCACATGGTGGGAGGCAGGAAAGGGGTGCTGATTTATGTCAGAATGAACACTGATTATGATCAGACAGTCTCTAACGGGGGGTTATGGTAAGCAACCTGTTCTGGCCCAGGTCCATCTTCATGTCATGGAACAGTCTCTCCTCCACAAATATCCAGTCAAGTCTTTGTCACATTACCTCACTCTAACACTGACTTTTCTACCTCCTTTCACATTTGCAGACCTTTGTGAATACATTGGACCCACCATGACAATCCAGGAAAATTCCCCTATTTTAAGGTCAGCTGCTTAGCAACCTTCATGCCATCTGCAACCCTAATTCCTCTTTGCCATGGGACAAAACATATTCACTGGACCTGGGGTTTAGGATGTAAACATGTTTTGGTGGCGGTAGAGGGGTGGCATTGCTCCACTTATCACAGTGACGAAAGAGAATCTATCTTAACAGTGAGGAAAAAGAATCTATCTTAAACACTAGAATGATTTATATAGTCAGAAAAATTTTGAGGTCAGCAGACAAGAGATCTGAGTTCAAGCCTGTGTCGGGTTATTAACTAGTTTTATGACCTTGATAAGTTTGCAGCCACTAGAACTCTCTGGACCTCTGTTCACTAAGAGTTGGTGTTGCACTGCCAAAGTCTGCACCCCAAAACAATAATTTGCTAACAGCAAGCATACAGCAGAGGAGTATGAGATCATCATCTCTTAGTGGAAAAACAACTAAAAAATGCTTGAGTGACAGACAATGGCCGTAAACAGTATCTATTTGACTTGTGAATGACAGCACATCTCCAAGCTTTTGCTGACTGCTAACCTTGAGACAGCCTCCAGTTCCAACTGGGAAACAACAAAGACCTTTCTAGCTTTCTGATCTAGTCTGTTTTGAGTTCATGTATACTTACCCAGATGTTTTTAGCTAGTGGTATGCCATTGCCTTCAGAAGTCTGTCATTTACAGAATCTTAGAAAGTGGTACGAGTCCCTTGCTTCTCTTCCCAGGCAAGAACAGCTGTGTAATAGCAAATCCATCCAGCGTTCAGCTGCTCCTCGTCCTGGACCTCCAGGGTTGGTAGATGTTTCCAAGTAAATTTGAGGCTTCTCTTTTCTCTTTGTTCCCTGTGGCTATCTATGACTAGGAGGTGGGTCTCAGAGCTGTGTGGTCCAGTAGGCATATTTTGGACTAATAAAATCCATTGTGCTTAGAAACTTACAGTCGTATGGTACCACAATAAAGTTCCTGGGTTGAATTTGCTTGTCTGTGCCAGAAAACATCAGTGGACCACTGAAAAGGAGCCAAAGCCTTAAAAGAAGCGAGAAAGAGGTTGTGTCTAACAGATGGTGTGGAACAGGAAGGTAACAAAGAGTCTAAGATGAGTGACTTACCTTTACTGTTAAAGGCATGACCTTGACAATATCATGAAGCCAGGCACCAAGCAATGAATGTCATATAGCTGTTCTTCATTCCCAAGCAAAAAAAAATGTTCTCCTCTAGCTTTTCTTCATCAGAGTGGTTCATTAACAAAAACCCTGCAATTAAAAAAGAATTCTTTTTAATGTTTTCTCTAAGTTTGTCATGTGGAAATAAATCACTTATTATATAATGTAGATTAAATTTCCAAAGGTGGAAATATTTGGCTGTGCTAAAAACAATGTGTCAGGCATATCCATGGCAGGGCCAGTGGTGGAGTGCTGTGTTTAAATTATTTTAGTGGCTATGGTTAAATGGCCTGCAAGAGCATGAAATCTGCTTTTATTTATCTGTTTTATATACCAATATCCAGGAAATCTTTCCCTTTACTCCTTGCATTTGGAAATTTTTGGTTGAATTTTATGTGATAGCTGGGTCTCTGTCAATGTTGTATACATTTTTACTTAATGATGGAAAAAGTTGATTGATTAATCAGAATGCTCGATTACTAGGCTGAATAGCTATTACCATTTTTTATCTCTAAGGTTCCTTTAGCCAGAAAATCCTTTTTGCCTTGTTTTCTCAAAATGGGAATTATAATGCACTGAATTGAAAATGTTTTTCATTTATTACTACCATATTAAAAATCTTGTAGGGTATGGGAGTCAAAACTCTAGATATGTTTGGACATTGTACAGCCATGGATTGAAGACTGGGATGGGTATGTACTAGCCCTAGAACTTGCCATTGTACTTATTACTTTTTAATTAAATGACTGATAATGCATTCCTTTTCCTGAAAGCCAAATGTAGACGCTAATTCCAGTTAATTTATGGTTTCACTTCATTGACATCCACTTAAATGAGATTTTATGTGACATAGCTAATTCTGCTATGAATAATGAGATTTATTTGGAGGGGGAAATTAACACTTACAAGCAGGAAGAAAATGAGTCTTTGAAACTTGAAAGATGAGGCTTTTACAACTTATTTTTTTGCGTGCCACACAGGTCTGCCTATTTCCAGTGAAACCTAATTCCGAGCACCTCTTTTTATACCTAAAAACTTGGCTCTGATTGTGTCTGCTTTGGCGATACCCTGGTGGCTTTTTTCTGTTCAGAAATTGTCAATAAATAAATAAAATGTGGAACATCCTGATGAGATCAGTCTCTGGGATCCGTGTCTAGGTCAAGCCTCCCTCTCTGACAAGCTCTTCTTGCTATTGCTGCCTGAGGAAGTGGGCTGGCCTTGGAGCAGGACTTAATTTTGCCTCATTTTAAATCATGTGCTCAATTGCCTTCTCTTCCTCAGAGGGTGAAAAGCCACAAAGAACAGCTTAATGCATAAGGAAAAACAAATTCAGGGATATTATCCACTTGCTTGTAAATAACAGGTTCATGGATAGGAAGTAGCTAATTCTGTGCAATATTAGGTGGTCCTTTAATAAAAACAAGAGAAATGAAAACATCCACAATTCCTTTGTCATACTCAAAAGTCTCCCTTGCTCCAAATCTCCTAGTTTTTTAGAAGGGGTATTTTTTTCTCTCTTATAATCTGGAAATACATGTTCCTAATTGAAATAAGATGTACTCCTTAAATGATGAAAATAAAAAGTGATCAAAATAGATTTTTGTTATCCGTTGGGCATTGGGGTTCTAAATGCAAAATGCATGGCTTGCAGTGTGGGGAATTAATTATTAGTAATTGAAGTTGTAGGCTTAATTCCCTGCTTGCTTCGGTGAAAATGAACCCTTTCATTTAATATTAAAATAAGCACCACTAACCTCATGATCTAGGACAACACATGCATTTAGTCATTGAGCAAAACTGAATGTTAAAAAAAAAAAGCTTTATCTTTTAAACACTGAATTGTGATTAAAACAAAACAAAAACATTGGGAGGTAGGTATATTAGCAAACATTATAACAAAACAGATGGTACTGAGTACTCTTAATAGATCCTGTTCTTGTACACTGGTTAGTGAACCACTTTGTATTCTAATAAAAGTCTAAACCATTAAAATATATATCATATATTAATATAGATAACATTATAATTAATTATTATATATAAATTATATATATACTTTTAGAAAACTTGTCCTCAGTAAAATGTTTTCATTGAAATGTACTGTCTTATTGAAGCAGAATGACCATTTAAACTGTTGAACAAGTAAATTTGCTGCCCTGTGTTTCTGCTGTGAGGAGTTCTTTCCTTTCCCTGAGGAGGGAATGTTACGGCCCAACATGGTGTGGACTCTGCTTTCTGTCCCAGTCTCATCGCTGATCTGTCTCTGTGTCTGGGCCCTGGCCATGCAGAAATGCTCAGGGCATTTACACTCACTGTTACTTGGGTCTGGTAACCTTTCCCAGGCCCCTTATCAACATCTTTTACTCCTCTCAGATCTCAGCTGACACATTACACCTGTGATTGGGGCAAGTCCTCCTCTTTTATATTCTTATCACAGTAAGTCATGTTGTAATTACTTATTTCATGCTTGTCCCTGTGCCAGGGTAGAGTTGCATGAAGGCAGGGACAGTGTCTGTCATGTTCACAGCTAGAACTCCGTTAGCTAGTTCAGAGCCTTGCACATACTGAGAATCGAGAAACACGTTTGGGGGAAGAAAGGAAGGAAGGATGAATGTTAATTAATGTCGGTCTGACAGATCCTTGGCAAAATTCCCATTTTGTAGTCCTGAAGTATCCATAACAGTTATCATACAATTAATTTTTTTTTCTCATTTTTTATGAGAAACAGATGGAATTAATATTTTCTGACTTTTTATTTATTGTCCTTTGAGTGCACCTTCCCAGAAGACAATTTATTCATATTTCAATAATTTACACATGTAATTGTGTAATAAGTAACATAAGAAACATTTCTTGTTCAGAAATTAAGCTTGCTTGCTGTCTCATGTGTTTATTAGAGGTAACCTGGACATTGTACTTCCCTTGAATGAGAAAGAAGAGTTGGAATTTGCTCTCAGCGGCAGCTATCAATTCTGACCTAGGAGAGGTAACAGATGCCTTCTGTTCTTTAAGTAACCAGCCACTCTGTGCATCAAGTTTGGACATGGGTTTAGGAAAAACTCCTGTGTGTCCACATCAAGGACCAAAATGTAGTTGCTGAGCCTGTTCAAACTTTCAACATTGTTTTTCTCAAAAACAGGAAGCTTAAATGAACACTTGTTTAATCAAAATAATGTTTCACACTGTCATGAGTAGAGAATCGAGGAGACAGAAGAACCCTTTGATTTGTCTGTATCTCAATATCCTGAAACTTCTGCCTCATTACATATTTTTAAAGAAGCAAAAAGTAGGTCTAACTGATTTTCTGAGTTAAAATGGTAGACTAACCACACATCTAATTTTGCTCCCCTGAAAAATTCCACTAAAACTTGAGTAAAGAAGTTTTATTTAAAAGGCATATAAACCCACATGAAAAAGAACACAAGAGGACAAAAGAGCAGTAAAATTTTAGAACCTGGAAAATAGACTGACAACTGGCAGCACCATATACCTCTGCAACTGGTGTAAAGGGGAAGATAAAATATGAAGGTGCGGGGAAGCTATTCCATTGGTTTAGATCACTATATCCCCACTGGCACTGCACATTGTGGGGCAACTGTCCTTTCCCTGCCTGAATATAATAGTTTACACTCAGGAGTGGATATAGCACAAGGCCTCTGAATTGCAGGACATTAGGTATAATTGAAGGTGTGTGTATTATTATCATACCAAACACAGAGAGATTACATGCCTGAATACATATCCAATGCTAAGTGCTAAAAATGTCTCTCTCTTCCCTGACTTGACTCCCAGAATGCCAACATTTCCCTCTAGGCAGGAGACTGGAAGACTCTTTTCTGCTAAACATAATCAACCTGGGAGGAAAGATTCAAAAATACTGATGTCAGGAGTTCATCAACAAATAGCCCATCCAGGTCACCTGACAGTGTCATTCAAAGTAACAAGCCCCACAAAAGTACTCAGAGCAGCCAATTATTCAGCCCCTCATTCTTAACCACGAATATATAAGAGCAGACCACCAGGTAGTTGAGGAAGATTTCTAACATGAAAGAGAGACCAAAATCAATAAACAGAAAAAGCACCTTAGAGAAAATAGAGTCTATACCTAGAAAGGAAAAGATCAACAAAAGTATTAGTATCCTCAGAAAAATCATAAAAAAAAATTACCCTTGTGAATCTAGAAAATGGTGCTATACAAAGGAAGATTCAGAGAGTAAAAAGATCTCTTGAAAGCTAAAAAATAGTTGAAATGAGAAAATTTCAACAAGAGAGTTGGAAGATAAATTTGAAAGTTCTGAGAAAGTAGAGCAAAAAAGACAAAAGAAAAGGGAAATAGGAGAAAAGATATAAGAAAAATAAAAGGAGCAGACCTGCAGGTTCAACATATGAGTAATGACTATTCTTCCCAGGAAAAGATCACAGAGAGAACAACGTGGAAAAATCATAAGTCAACCAAAACTTCTCAGAACTGAATACACAAACTGCCAGGTAGAAAAGACCCACCAAGTGTCCCCCTCCCACCAACATATTTGAGTAGATCTATATCACAGAATATCAGTGTGAAATTTTAGAACACTGGGGTCAAAAAGAAGATTCTATAAGCTTCCAGAGAGAAAACCAGTTTACATACAAAAGATCAGGAAATTCTCAAGGAAAACTATTCCTACTGCAATTCTATACTCAGTAAAACTATCTAATACATATCAAATACATATGAGGGAAGAATAAAGACATTTTCAGATTGCAAGTTCTTAAAAACTTAATTCCTATGTACTCTTTCTAAAGGAGCTCCTCTAGGGAGAATATCTTCCCACCAAAATGAACGAAATAAAAAATCAAGAAAGAAGACATGATGCGCTGAAGCGTGTTTCTGCACCCTAACCCATGTCATTGGAGGCTGACCTTTATGGACGGCATCACAGATTCATGTGCTCTGTGGTTGTGTTCAGCCAAAGAGTGTCACCAGTAAGACACCTGGAGGATAGGAGTAGAAAGATAGCCTAGGGTCCTGACAGGATTAGAGATCTATGAGGTATCCAAAGTACCCATTTTATTACTATATAACCTTTAGGACTGGCTTTTTTCTCTCA